GTGGTAAACGTCTGAGACCTGCATCACTTCGGGCTTTCCTCCCATATTAAGCTGACACGCCGTAATATAACTGGAATACTGTTAAAAACGGCGTTAAACCCAACTCACTCACTCGCTATAATCTGCCAGTTTCAATAGTTAAGTTATGATTTGATGTTATAAATTGTCAGACTGGTACATGTAGATAGACATATACTTGGAATATATATCTAAGTTTATGGCGCTGATAATATTTACCTTTTGAACGAGTGATGACATCCTCTTTCCATTTTTAAAAAAAAATGATTTTTTTAAGAACGAGTTCTGCTTTAGAAACTATGCAGGGAGTTAATATACATCGGGTTTCAAAATCGAATGTGGTGCCAAACCAGGGGTCAAAATTAGGCCGGATCTTGGGTTCACACCATAGGTCAGCGGATCATCCACGACTAAGGGACGAAACACTCATAGCTAATTGAGATTCAATATGCATATACAGTAAACCACGGTTATAACGAACACACTTATAACGAACTGACGGATATAACGAACTTACTTTTTTGGCCCCGACTATCTAACGAACTACGGATATAACGAACTAAAATTAGTAGTCCCTTTGAGTTCGTTATAACCGTAGTTCGCTGTATATAAAACGTCAACGCCAGAGAATTACCAGTCTGGATTATATGCCGAAACAGATATCATTGGGTGTAAGGAGTAAAATAGCGGTGAAAATGATATGAATGGATCATTGAAAACCAGTGATGAATCCTCCTGTTCGCGATAAGGGTAAGCATGTCCTGCATTACAGGCAGAACCCGCCACTCACACAATTCGGGCAAAAATAAGTCAGCAGTACTCCTGCCACACGACGGAGACCGGTAAACAATCGTGTCTTGACCAGACAATCAAGTGATGGAACAGACAATCCAGTGACACGGTAACAGTAGCACATTTACTGATTTTGTTGAAACTAAACACCATAGGGTTACTTCAAATTACGTTTGCTGTGTAAAAGTGCTGATATTCTGAAGCTTATGGGAAAAGTCAAACATTTATGAAATATGTTAGCACTGCGCTATATTCACAATGGGGGCGGTCGGGAAGCCTAGTGGTTAAAGCGTTCGCTTGTCACGCCGAAGACTCGGGTTCGATTCACGACATGGGTACAATGTGTGAAGTGCATTTCTGGTGTCCCCCGCCGTGATATTGCTGGAATATTGCTAAAAGCGGCGTAAAACCATACTCACTCACTCACTCACTCACTATATTCACAATGAGGAATTTTATTTTTACACAATCTGAAACAATCTTTATTATTTTTTTTTTTGTGTAAGCGGAGTTGCGTCCCTTAGTCATGCCAGGATCAACGCAAATCCGCGTGCGTGAGTATTGAAAGTGGTGAACTTACGCTGACGCAGTATTGTTGAAAACAGATTCAAACTCGCTCACTCACTCGTCTCATCCACTCACTCACTCATTCCACTTCATACAATTATTTGGATATACTTATATTGGGTGCACATTATCTGCTAATGTAATAGTGTAGGTGGAATACGAAGACGAGGTTATTGACAAGTTAAAGGGAAATATATAACTTGATATACAACATTGTGTGGTGGATATATCAATGCAGACAACACTCACTGTCTAGACTGAGCGTCATGATCGTTCATTGAGAAACCAAGTATTACTCAGAATATCATACACTCTCGAAAGATTTCGTTTAGACTGAAAATCGCTTCATAAGTGCTACTCTGATTCCCGTGATATTTGTTTAAATTATCACCCGGTGGTGTGGGTTTAACTCCGGGCAATAATTCAGTCTCTTTACAAGAAGGAAATTCCTTTGAGTATTGGTTAGAGTTCCGGGAACTGAAAGCTTTGGATTATACAAATGGATTGTTGTTATTAATTCCTTTGTCTGTGTACACAAGATAACAAGGGGGCGTGTGTGACAAGTATTGGACAAACTGCAACACTGCTAAGATATGATTATACAGGTGTTAAGCTGGGAGAAATACACACTCAGAAGAATAAAATCGTTAATAATTTCTCAGAAAAGAAGCAAAACTTGAACTTTCAGATCTGGAGTAAGCGTTAGATGGTGAGGGGAGTCGGGTAGCCTAGTGGTTAAAGCGTTCCGTCGTCACGCCGAAGACCCGGGTTCGATTCCCGACATGGGTAGAATGTGTGAAGCCCATTTCTGGTGTCCCCCTGCCGTGATATTGCTGGAATATTGCTAAAAGCGGCGTAAAACCATACTCACTCACTCACTCGACAGTTGGTGATTTTTGTGTTACCGTTAAGGTATCCGGATGGAATTGTTTGTTTATGTGTTTGTGATGTATTGTTTGTTTGTGTGTTTGTGATGTATTGTTTGTTTGTGTGTTTGTGATGTATTGTTTGTTTGTGTGTTTGTGATGTATTGTTTGTTTGTGTGTTTGTGATGTATTGTTTGTTTGTGTGTTTGTGATGAATTGTTTGTTTATGTGTTTGTGATGTATTGTTTGTTTGTGTGTTTGTGATGTATTGTTTGTTTGTGTGTTTGTGATGTATTGTTTGTTTATGTGTTTGTGATGTATTGTTTGTTTGTGTGTTTGTGATGTATTGTTTGTTTGTGTGTTTGTGATGTATTGTTTGTTTGTGTGTTTGTGATGTATTGTTTGTTTGTGTGTTTGTGATGTATTGTTTGTTTATGTGTTTGTGATGTATTGTTTGTTTGTGTGTTTGTGATGTATTGTTTGTTTGTGTGTTTGTGATGTATTGTTTGTTTATGTGTTTGTGATGTATTTTTTGTTTGTGTGTTTGTGATGTATTGTTTGTTTGTGTGTTTGTGATGTATTGTTTGTTTGTGTGTTTGTGATGTATTGTTTGTTTGTGTGTTTGTGATGTATTGTTTGTTTGTGTGTTTGTGATGTATTGTTTGTTTGTGTGTTTGTGATGTATTGTTTGTTTGTGTGTTTGTGATGTATTGTTTGTGTGTTTGTGATGTATTGTTTGTTTGTGTGTTTGTGATGTATTGTTTGTTTGTGTGTTTGTGATGTATTGTTTGTTTATGTGTTCAAGATGTATCGGTGGGACAGGATACGCCCACCTTTTCGTGAATACCTGGTATCATCACTATTTTTGTGATTCTTAAACACGCGTATACGATATAGTGGGAATCTCACGGTGGATTCTATTTTAGCAAAAACTTCTTAAAACTTTGGAAATTGTTTTGTCGCTTGTATTTCTTAGAGCCGACTGATGTTGCGATAGGATGGTCAGGTTCGGTGACTTGGCTGACAGGCAGCTGTAAAGTGTCTCACCCTGTTACCCGAGGAAAAACAACGTAGCGTGTCTATAAGACTAAATAAATTATGTAAAAGATGTAAATACTGACAGTTAATGAATGACGATGTAAGGGATCGATTAATGTTTACGAAAGCGATTGAAGATATATACCATTTTAAATTTTAATTTAAATGTATGTTTTATCAGACATTTATCTGCCTAAACTGTATCCTCAAAATAACCAAATATCAATTAGTTACAAATGCTTCTATCTTCGAACCGGGTAATACAATTGATTCTATCTTCGGGATCGATTAATGTTTACGAAAGCGATTGAAGATATATACCATTTTAAGTTAAAATGTTTATTTTATCAGACATTTATCTGCCTAAACTGTATCATCAAAATAACCAAATATTCAGTAGTAACAAATACTTCTATCTTCTAACCGTGTAATATTGCTTAGAGACCTATGCAAATATGTATTGAATAGAGACAGTGAGCTAATACGTAACAAAATGAACATGATAAATGTCGCATTTATACCCACCTTCTCTATAGGGGCCATGATAATACACACTCACTTACTCACTCACTCACGTAAACAACCCTCACTCATTCATTCACTCACTCACTCACTCACTCACTCACTCACTCACTCTCACTCACTCATTCACGTAAACAAACCTCACTCACTCACTCACTCACTCACTCACGTAAACAAACCTCACTCATTCATTCACTCACTCACTCACTCACTCACTCACCTTTTCCAACACCAGTGTCTTTCGTTTATGTCTGAATCGTTGTTAATATGATGGACATTCCTATGACTTATTACTTTAAAAAATAAATTTCAATTTTGTTACTACTTTCATAAATATACATTTCTAACTTGTTTCAATCTATGACAGAATTTTTCCTAGATTCTCCTAAAACTAAAAGGTGTAATTGCCTCTTAAGATAACATCATCTCAATGTTATCGCCAATATCCAGATTATTATCTAAACCTACATAACGTGTTTAACGTCCAACCATCCTAGGAGGCTCGAGATGAATGCAAACACTGGGATATTCCATCGAAGCCTTTAATGAGTTCTAATGCAATATCAAGTGGTTATTCGTGATTTCACTCACCAAGTTGTGGAATCAACGCATTTACTAAACAACTAGAGGTTTTATGGTACATTAACTAAAAGTTTCGATTTTAAAATAAATATTTGTGTACGTGATTTACGCTTAAGGGGTATTTTGTGCGCTATTACGCGAAAAATAATAATCCCACCTTGGTCATATAACGAATGTGTCCTTCGTATCGATTGATTATGTATTGTTGTTTCTAAAAAAGCACATTAAATATTTAGTTCTTCTGTTGCTTTCCGGTTTCGTGCGTGTGCATGATTCGTTATTGTCGCATGTTGCATTAAGAAAATTTGAAAATGTTACCTAATTATAGGGTTAAACTAACTATGTTGTAATAGGGGGTAATTAAGTTCACAGGCATTAAAGCTGGCTATATTGTGGTATCACAAAGCATATGGTACAAGAAATGTATTTCCGTCTGAATTGGATTCACAATATTCACATAACAAGTGATTATATATTTGAAATGCTTGGATGCAGATATTGATTTTTATTTTTGGAGTTCGGTATAATTATAACGAGGATTGTTTTGTCCGCTATCCTCGGATTCAGATTTCACACACGTACTATTTTGTAAATGACACTATTTTTTTTTCACAGACATTTGAAGAAACTTACGTCGACAAGAGCAAGGTGTCTGTTTTGACTCTGGATACGCCAATGTCATGTGAGTATTCAGTACTGCAAATGTTGTAAGAGTGGGTGAGTGAGTATGGTTTTACGCATCTTTAAGTAATTTTTCAGAAATGTGACATCGGGGGCCAACAGAAATGAGCTCCAAACATTGTACCCATTTGGAGAATCGAAACCAGGATTGGTATCACAGTGGAACAACACCTGCCCATTTTGGTGTCCTCTAAAGGGACACCTACAAACTATGTTTGCTTCGACCAAAAAGACTCCCGTTTAAAAACATGAACAAGAATCGTCTAAAAGGTCTACAACCTGTCATTTGAGGGTAGCGATTTTTATCAAGCGCAGCAATTGCTAATATCTTGGCTAAATTAGGAGGCGGGTACATGTACTGTGATGTGATGTGCTGCCCAAGGAAAACATAATCAATACGTTTCGTCTTGTTAATTAACAATAATGTGTACCTAACTAACTGGTTATGTATTCAATCAGCAGTACATCCGGGTTGTGCACTGTGATTATATTATTTTTTTATGTATGTGTGCAAGGGTATCAATAACATGAATCCTGTACAAGCAATCAGTTAATGGATTATAATTGAAGGCAAATCGAGTCTGCTAACATTGTCATGCCTGTCTCATTTCAGCAATTTGTGTGAAACTCCCTGAAATATCTATGAGTGGGTGTGTTCCCAATAGAATCCTATAGGTGTTTATATTTGATCAGCGCTGTGTAGTCTGATCAGAAGAGAAAAGGAAAATCGAGATATCATATGACGTGAAGCTGCAAAATATCTAAAATAATTTTTAATCATTATAATTGTATATATAATGGGGGCCGTGGGATTTTGTATCGAGATTAAATATTTCCTTCAGATACAGCCACGAAACCAGATACTTTGTATTTGAAACCCTGAGTCTGATTTTTTAAAAAGAAAAACACCTTGTAACAATGTCATTATTTTTGTGGTCGGCTATATTCTTTCTTTCAACAGTCTGAAGCATAATTATTTTCTTCACGAAATTAAGGGTCAATTCATTTTTTTCAATAAAATCCCATCCCCCCTCCGAATATCATGTGGTCGGTCCCTTAGTACCAGATCTTACTATGGTAGCTCTTTCTTGGCAATACTCATAAAAGTCATGGGGAATAAAGTGAGAAGAGGTCCTTAAGGTCAAACGAAAGAATACACTTAAAATTGAATTTGAGCCCCCAAAATGCCAAACGTTGTCAAAACGTTACTAGATTAAAAACCGTCGCCGAAACATTGCAAAGTTACGTACAAAACTATGATATACCCGTATCAAATACCTCACTATCGTATAACCATTTCTTGTTTGAGCCATTTTAGCAACCGTCAAACATGGGCGTATACTTTATTTAACACAACAGTTTCTAAAGTGAATAACAACACTGAATTACACATCGGGGAACATCATGTGACCAGTATCCCAGGAATGATGTCATGTGTGCATGATGTTATGTAAGGCAATGTGTCACATAATTATTCGAGTGAACATTTCTACCTCGACAACCTGACATTTGGACAAAAGAGGGATGAGGCTACATGTAATCTCAACCCAACTCCTTCATAGATTTATTTAATATTTTAACGGTATCCACAGTACCGACTCCACTGTATCCTTCCATGAATCCATATATTTATATATATTAATTATGTACCGAACAAAGGTAAAATAACAAGACGCGCTCAAGCGCCATACTTCCAGGATGTTGCATCGCATTAAATTCTACACGCCCTTTCAGCTTTACGCTTTTGTTCGGCTTTTCCTGAAGGCATCAAACCTTTCTCAAAGCTATCTGATCAAAAGCAACGCAGAACTGATCAGCAAGTCGTTTCAATTCAAGATTAACGTTTTTCGGGGTATGAAAGCTGTTTTCGCCACGAAGGATATCCATTTGATGTTTTCACTCAAAATTTAAATCCCTTTCTTCATCAACTTCCTTGTGTATATTGCAAGCGAATGTCCCCTTTTGAAGACGGAAGGCAGTAAGAACAATCCTAGTCATTTCTCGCGTGTCGCTGATTAGCTGGCCTTTGTGAAGACTGTTGTGTGGGCCAGATTAGGCGTGCTCTTTACGAATCAGATCTTTAAATCATAAGCCGAGATGCAGAAAGCCAGACAAGGTGGACCAAATCCGCAGACAACCCCAGGATAATTCCCACTTGGCATTTATGCCATGCCACTGATGATGGTTCGGCCGAACCATTTTACGCTGGATACACACAGTGCTTGACAGAGAAGGCGTTTTATATAATTGGTTGGTTGGTTAGTTTGTTGTTTAACGCCGCACTCAGCAATATTCCAGCTACATGACGGCGGTCTGTAAATAATCGAGTCTGGACCAGACAATCCAGTGATTAATATCATGAGCATCGATCCACGCAATTGGGATCGATGACATGCACCAACCAAGTCAGCGAGCCTGACCACCCGATCCCGTTAGTCGCCTCTTACGACAAGCATAGTACCCTTTTACGGCAAGAATGGGTTGCTGAAGACCTATTCTATCCCGGATCTTCACGGATCGAAAAGTGTATAATTACTATGTATATGCATATATAGGAATGATTAATGTGTGAGTTTGCGCTGCTTAAAGCCTTATTCACAATGTCGCGCCAGGTAACACCGAGACTGTCTCGATGAAATGAATCGAACACGGGCTTGAGGACTGAGCTGCCAAAGTTTAACAATCGATCCGGGCAATTGGGATACGATGACATGCATCAACCCCACCAACCATGTATACATTCCAGCTCAAAAGTCATTGTTTTGCGCCAAACATACCTCGTTAATTTGACAAACGTAGCTCAACGTTGTTTTCACACAACAGCCGATTATCTCCCAGCTTACTCGGCTCCACTCGCCTTATTCCGCGAGAGAAGTTTCTGCTCTTGTGACCTACTGTGAGAGTAGGCGTCCTATCTGGGAATCCCCCTTCTGGCTTTAAGCGGCCGAGGCATTCATTTTTCATGTAGAATTTTTTACATCAAATATCATCTAAAAAATCGAATGTGGTATATTTTCTATAGCCTTCGTCTCCGTGAACCTTATGCCTGTTGTTTAATAGGTACAGTATCGTAACATTTACATATATAGTCATATACAGATGATGTCTATACATATAGGTAAGGGCAGAAGATATATTGACAGTAGCGCTGGGAATTTATTCAACAAGCCCGTGAAAACAACACTACTTTAGATCAATGCTTACCTCTCCTAGCGGCCATTATGCATCGGCCATCTTACACACAACCCCGCGCCCACGTCTACAGGTCTCTTCCTGTGTTACGGTAATTACCGTAGTAGAACCCTCTCCCTCGAGTGTATCCTCCATGATATAACCTACTCTCATTAATTAAATGCTACCCTTTCCCAGCGTCACGGCTATGGATCTGAGACAGAGAGACCCACCATCTTAAAGTAATTAGGTTCCAATAAAAACAATGTTCCGCCAAACCTCTTAAATATGATCACTGAATGTCGTACTACCGAGGTTTAATGTCAAATCACAAACAAAACATTTGAATAGCAGTAACATTTACCAGGATCATGTATTCTCTTAAAATCATCGCAATACATCATGTTGAAGCCACAACAGTACTCAAATTTTCCAACAAAATCACATCTAAAAATGAGACATCAGCAAGTACATATACTAAAATGTGTATTAACATTTTTCGCCAGGATATAAAAAATTCTCTCCTTGTTACCACCTCCAAGTTCAGCTTAACATGGGTCCTCCTTTGGTCAATAGTTTGTTCCCCCTGTGATGAGTGTGTCACTCTATGCACACGAGTGACGAACGGGGTACACACCCGTGTTCAACGCATTCCATCCGGTTGTCACACGCGTGGCGGACGGGTTCCACACGAGTGACCAACGGGGTGCACACGGGTATTGTAACGCGTTGCCCATGCGTGCAAGGGGAATGAACTTCTAGGGAGTAGTGATCCTCGTTAATAACACAAACGTACTTCGTTAATTTCGCAAGCGTATCGCGTTAATGGCGCATAAAGAGAGGAACTTCCGCCAAAGTCTCGAAGTGGGAAGTATTTGGGGACAGTAGTTTAGAAAGAACCGAATGACTACCTAATGAGGATAGAAGGTCTCGTGTGCCAAGATTGACAGTTTTTGAGCGAGTGAGTGAGTTGGGTTTAACGCCGCTTTTAACAGTATTCCAGTTATATCACGGCGTGTCAGCTTAATGTGGGAGGAAAGCCCGAAGTGATGCAGGTCTCAGACGTTTACCACTTCGGTGAAACCCACAAGCACGGGTATGGTGCTGACAAACCTAGAAACATAATCGGGGCGAACCGGGATTCGAACCCACAATCATAGGTTTCTGGCGTGCCCAAGGGACGCAACTCTGCACAGCGAATCGCGGCGCCTTAGACGACTGGGCCACCCGTGCCCCCGACAGTTTTTGAACGTGTGAGGTAACCAAAGCAATACAGGTCGTAGCTCTTTGCTGAAACACATGGATACTCGTAAATATAAATCGTCAATTCAATAGGATAACCAGGCTACATTTTCTGCCGAAATAGTTTCCACTTGGCGTAAAGGGTAAATAGCTGCGGAAATTATATGAATGGATCACTGAAAATCAGTGATGACACCAGGTGTTCGCGAAAAGGGTAAGCATGTCTTGCCCTACCAACAGCACCTGCCATTCATACAATTTGCATAAGAAAGTAAGTACATTGTATTGTTTCCCTGATGCAGCACAGCAGTCCTCCTGTCATGAGACGTCAGCCTGTAAACAAACCAGACAATCCGGTGATCGATGAAACAGAGATCATTCTCTGGCGTCTGTGTTTTTTGGCAACCAGTTGAAGGAACGCAGCTCCGCATTAATGACAATATCAGAAATCTATCTCATCATAATATAAAAATACTTGCAACCTCTAGTCAGTGATGTTAAGAAAAGTAACATAACTACAACTTTGATCCCTTACATGTTTATTTCACTGGTGACAATTTAAACATGATTATCTCAAGGCATCATTTT